TACAAGTAGAAAATATAAGGCTGATTTGTTTCAGATATTTAAAAGATACGTGCTTTTTATAGGAATTTAAATTTGGCAAAGTGCAGACTTAGATCAATTTTGTAGTCAGAATCCAAATTCCGAATGATAACATACTCAGAGGATCATCCAAGAATAGTTTCTGCTGCCAAAAGAGAAACAACACAACAAGATTAACTTTTCCCCTAAGGGATCTTGCAAGTGGAAAGCTGTACCGTGCCTGGATAGAGCAGACTTGAACAAATTAACTGTTAGATTGGGACTTTCATGTTTTTTTTAAATTGTGATGTATTTACAGGGATGTGATGTATTCATGGGGCACATTAAAATAATATTTAGCATTCTGCAAGTGTTTAAATGGGCTCTTTGAAATTTTGCAGTTTTATTTTATTATTCTAAAATATGTCTGTGTAACAAATAAGTAAATGAGAGTTTTAAAAGAATAGTAAAAGTATTTTGATATTCACAGAGTGTTAATCTAGGGATAATGTCATGTGATGAACAATTAGGTGGTGCGATTGCTCATTGGATCCCAGTTTTTTGTAACATCAGACCTTTGTTCCGGTTTAGTGTGTGTATTGATTTCTTAGGAACTTAATGGTAGGAGGGGCGTTTTAACTTTGAAGTGCGTTGGCATGGTGCTGTGTTATGAAGATAAGATCCAATTTTCATTCGTTCATTCACGCATTTAAAAAAAGTGATCTTTTCTTGATTAAGCAGAATACCGTATTTACTCCTCATTGTTGGTATAAACCATTATTTCACTGATAACCGTTAGCTATTTAAAAGTTGGTACATAAATTAAAGAGGAGCTAAATGGATTTGTGATTGTTGCCATTAGTAGCATTTTGGATTATACAGGCAATTATTGTGTTCATTATCCTAGAACAGCCCCTTTGCAAAACTATTGTGGTTGTCTTAGACATTATGCACAAATTTTCCCTTGGAGATTAAAATTTCCAGTAGCATATTTAATTTTGTTATCACAGTTGTTTCAAATAAAATAAATATTATGACAAGTTGAAGAAAATTTGCTTTACTAATATAGGAAATTACAATAAATGTTGAAAATTCCTTCCTAGTGTACTTAATTTATCTTTTCTTATACAGTCATAATTATGTCAAGTGATTACTGATAGATTTTATGGGTGAAGAGGTTTTGCAGTCATAGCAGAAGGTATATGGTCTGGCCAGGTGTGTGAGAAGATTTTTAAAGAAGAGATTCAGCTCAAAACTAAAGTAACCATCTTCTTTATAGAATCAGTAACTTTAAAAGTTAACTAGTTTTTATATTAAACAGCTTTTAGGAGTCCAAATTGTATTTAAGATGAGCTGAAGAGCTTTTATGGGTGTTTCAGAGAAATATAAAAGCATCAACTAGTAATTGAAAGTGGTGGGTTTTTTTAAAATAAGTGTTGAAATATATCTTTTCTTCTTACTGTGTTTTATTAGAATGGACAAAAATAATTAAGATCATACTATAGATGGCAGCTTGATTGCAGTTATATTCCAGGAAGAATTTCATAGTCCAGAAAAGACTACCTGAAAAAATGGCAAGGAGCAGCCCATTATTGAGGATGCCTTTTACTCTGTTAAACTTTTTATCACCTTAAATTAAAACGGAGGGGGCAACATTTAGTTGGCGTCAGCATCGTCAAGCAATTGCCTACATCTGTCTCTGTCAATTAGAAAGGTATTAATGCTCTGAGTGACCCAAGCACCAGTGTGCAGTAGGCTGCTCTTCATATGTCCACCCTCGACAGGGCATTTCTGCAGAGGAAACTTTGTATTCACTTCTGACTGTATTTGTCCTGCTTTTACTGTCTCTCACGGCTACGACTCAGGAAAAAGTGGGAGGTAGTGGTCATGCATTTTGCAAGACAGTGTTTCTTTATTTTATTACAAAAAAAGACCAACTGTAGAAGGGCAGATTAAATCATTCCTTTCACTTTTTAATGGGATTTGGATGAATAGAATAAAATATGCAGTTTGCATGCATTGATAGCATCTTTGGGTTGAGGTAATTGAGTCTTTTTCCCTGACTGCATGAGTAATGACTTCATCTGATCCTTGCCTTTGTCACAGAAAGGAGCTGGGCTGTGACACAGCCTCCACTTCTCTGGCTTAATTTTTCTTCATTTTAATCCAAAAACCTATTTTTCTCCATAATTCAAGCACAAACTATGTAGTAGTTGAAAGAGTGGAAATTGCAAGATATCTGTCCTCCTTGTGGCCCTGCACGAGACCATGCTGAATTGGCTGACGACAGATGCAGTTTTCTGGAAAGGCATAAGTAGACAGTGGGAACAGGCATGCTGGCTCAGTGCTGTCCCATCCATCTGGGGAGTGACCATGGGCACACAGACACTGGGAACAGGCAGACTGGATAGGTGCTGTCCCATCCATCTAGGGAGTGACCATGGGCACACAGACACTGGGAACCGGCAGACTGGATAGGTGCTGTCCCATCTACCTAGGGAGTGACCACGGGCACACAGACACTGGGAACAGGCAGACTGGTTAGGTGTGGTCCCGTCCATCTAGGGAGTGACCACGGGCACACAGACACTGGGAACAGGCAGACTGGTTAGGTGTGGTCCCGTCCATCTAGGGAGTGACCACGGGCACACAGACACTGGGAACAGGCAGACTGGTTAGGTGTGGTCCTGTCCATCTAGGGAGTGACCACGGGCACACAGACACTGGGAACAGGGAGACTGGTTAGGTGCAGTCCCCGTCCAGGCTGCTTGTTGTCTAGGGAAGTGGTGTGATGAGCATTTCTCCTGTGCCATCTGGAGACCACTGAGCTCTGGGGGAACTTGGGGAGGTGATGGTGGCATGTTTTCCCACATTTTCTGGGCTGGGAGTGATCCAGCCACAGTGAGAGGAGCAGAGGGCACCTCGGGGATGGCAGGACTGGGAGCATGTTCTCTGAAAGTGTCCCCTGAAAACCCCAGCTGCATGCTATGTGGCAACACGGAAAACGGTTTCTTGTGCTAAGCCAAGTTTATTATTCATTGTTTCACTACAATTAAGTAGATATTACATATAAATTGATACTTTTGTTTAAGTTTCCTTAATCTTGCATAGTAAATGACAAGGTTTAAAGCAGACAGATGATACCAAAGTTCTGCTTTACTCCCAAGCCCTTGTTTGGGAAGGCCCAGGGTGAATGAGGGGCTCCCCTCAGGTTTCTGGGGTACACAAGGAAGGCCCAGGGTGAGTGAGGGACCCTGTGGGGTCTTAGGGCACACAGGGATGGTATCTGTCCTCAAGGTTCCTCTGTGAGCAGGGCTCATGCCGCCTCTGAGCACCATATATCTGTGAATAGACTCAGCACTGTTTGACAGATGAAGAAGAGCACCCCAAAGGCCACACTGTTAGTAGACAGGAAGATTGGATTCAACCCAGAGTTTTATAATAATGATAATAACAGCAACAGCACATGGGTAGGGCTTACCATGTGCCAGGAGCTGTGCTCATTGGACTATGTATGATCTTATTTAATCCCCAAAGACCTGTTTACAGAAAAACCCATTGCCATCGAGTTGATTCCAACTCACGGCAACCCTACAGGACAGAGTAGAACTGCCCCATAGAGTTTCCAAGAAGCAGCTGGTGGATTCGAACTGCCGACTTTTTGGTTAGCAGCTGAACTCTTAACTACTGTGCCACCAGGGCCCCAAAGACTTATTAGGCAAGTATTGTTTTGATCCCATTTTAAGCAGAAGGAAACTGAAGCTCGGGTTGAATGCCTTGCCAAGGTTCTGCAGCTGAGTCACAGAGCCAGGGTTCAGAGGAGCCCAAGTCCAGAGTCCTGGGGAATTTGGCTGCTGTGCCAAGTCGATGCTCTGCCAGTTGGGTTCTGAAGTTGCCGCAGCGCCCTGGCACCCCTCCCTCTCCTGCCTCACTCACTGTATTGCATTGTGGTACTTCAGCGATGAAACTAAGCAAGGAGAGAGACTTTATTGAGGTTGTTAGAGCTCAGAATTGAAGCCGTATGCTTCTGAAGAGCTGTAGTCTCTTTAACTTGTTGGAATGGATGCCGTTTGGGCTGCTAGTTCACATTGTTTGCAAGATCCTGTTCAGAATACAACAAAAAACCAAATTCTTAACATAATTTCCCTTTATATTTTGTTTAGAGGTCCACAGGATGAACTCCAGTGTGGTGTCCTTCACAAGGAGGGCCTGCAGTGTAGGATTGTGCAAATTAGAAAGTTTCTCATGACAAGTGACTGCTCCTTCATAGGAAAATTTGAGAGATCCTCTTGATAGACAGGAACAGACTTCCTGTCTCCATCTGCCCAGAATCCTGAAGTAGGGAGTGGCAGGAAGCACTTTGTATCGAGAGCAGGAAGATTGGTCTGACATAGTGTATTGGGCAGACATGCACCTGTACCAGAAAAGCATGGCCAGGGCTCACACCTGTCCCAGAAGAACGTGGTCAGGGCTCACAGCTGTCATGAAGAGTACATTAAGGGCTCCCACCTGTCCCAGAAGAGCATATCCAGGACTCACACCTGTCCCAGAAGAACATGGTCAGGGCTCACATCTGTCATGGAATAGCATGTTAAAGGGCTCACATCTGGCCCAGAAGAGTGTGGCCAGGGCCCCCACCTGTCCCAGAAGAGCGCGACAGGGCCAGGCACACATCTGTCTGCCTCACTCCAGCCATCATGTCTCATTGTGCCCTGGTGAGTGTCTTCTGCACCATCCCTCTAGAGAAGGCAGCTGAGTGCATTGTGGCTGACATTGTGGCCTCTTGTTTTGTCAGTAGGCCCTTTCTGGAACATCTCTGAGGCCATGACTCACTTTCAGAAGTCTTGCCTAATCTCCAGAGGCTTTCGGAAGAGTAAGGTTCATACGATTTTCTGTCCCACCACTGTAGCCATCATGATCGTCATGCTGTGTTCTCATTTGGAGTGTAGTGTAGGGACGGGATGGTGAGCTTGTGCATCAGTAACTTTGCCTCTCTCTCCCAGGTTGGTCTGCTGGACCTCGAGCTCAACCAGCTGACCAAGGCACTCTTCCTGGCCTTGATTGCTCTCTCAGCTGTGATGGTGGCCTTACAAGGGTTCGTGGGGCCCTGGTACCGCAACCTCTTTCGATTCCTCCTTCTATTTTCCTACATCATTCCCATAAGGTAGGCTTAAGAATTAAGATAAAAGAATTGTCTGGTTTCATTGAATATGGTTTTTCTGAAATTTTCTTCCCAGCGTGAAAGAAGTCATCCAGAGCAGAAAAGGAGGGAGTCAAGAAACCTGACAAATTGCTCTGTAGAAAATAATCGTTTGGGCATAATCATTCTTGCTAGAATAATCTAGAGATCTGATACTTTTCCTTACATAATGTGTTAGAATATAATCTTCAATGATTTATCAAAATGTCTTGATAAAACATAAATCTGAATCCAACAAAGTAATTTTTGTTTACTGCTGGTAGACTTTTTCATATTTGGTGCCCTTGGAGCTGTATGCAATCATCAACATTTTGAAGTTGTCTGTATTTAAAAGGGGATCTAATATCTGTCAGGCTAGATAAAATATTGAGAAAGATAGCCTTTTCCTATGGTCTGTTTTTCAAAATAATAGCCCATATAGCTGGAGATTGGGATATAAATAGTTCATATTAGATGTCTACCTAATTTGAAGACTATAACATTTACAATAGATATATATATCTGTAAGTATATTTAAAAATGTTTTCACAAAGGATGTTTTTTTAAAGATACCCCTAATGTGTGTGAAAACTTTAATATGAATGAGCAATTAAAACCTGATGAATCACGGCTAAAGATGAATACAGAGTGGCCCCCTTTTGTCATGTGGTATGGAATCAAAAGCAACAATGCAAGAACTTTAAAATGTTTTAACTCTGTTAGCCCCCACCCCACCCCACTGACCTGCTCCTTCTAGTCAGCGTCTTAGTTGTGCCTGGTCACAGCACTTGGTGTCCCTGTGCTTGGTGTCCATGTGCTTGGTGGATGCGCCCTTGGTATACACATGACGTGCACAGTCCACCTGCAGGCCCCAGGCTGCAGGCGCTCACCAAGGCCTTCTTGGCATACCCCTAGCAGTGAACCACTTCTCTCCAGTCCTCCTGCATACTTGCGAAGGTCTTCTTCCTTTGGGGATAGTTTCAATTTTCTTAAAAAGCCAAAAGTTATTCAGAGCCAAAAATGATTAATAAGGTAGCTGATCGAACTAATTATTTTGAATGGTGTAAATACAAAGTGATTAATTGACTATATAATTCTAAGACCAGTTCTTAAGGCAATTTCAAAGACGAATGCATGCTTTGAGTAACATCAATATCATTTAAGGAAGAATAACCTCAATGAAAGGAGCCCTGGTGGTGCAGTGGTGTTAAGTGCTCAGCTGTTAACCGAAAGGTTGGCAGCTTGAACCTACCAGCTGCTCTTTGGCAATCTGCTTTTGTAAAGATTACAGCCCTGGAAGCCCTATGGGGCTGTTGTACTTTGTCCTACAGTGTTGCTATGAGTCAGAATCAACTCAACGGCAGGTTTGGTGTTTGGTAACCTCAATGGTGAGGTTTGAAATAAGACTTGAAAATGTAGTTTGTGTCATTAAAATTCACTCTCATTGCTTTTTGATTTAAACATAGGCTCCTCTTCTACCTCTAGTGGTCAGGAACCATTGGACAATTATTGGGATTTTTATTACAGATTTTTTAAATAAAATATTTCTAGGGACTGTCTCCAAATTAGGAGTCCCTAGGTGGTGCAGAGGAGCCCTGGTGGCACAGTGTTTTAGAGCTATGGTTGCTAACCAAAAGATCGGGTGTTCGAACCCATGAGCCGCTCCTTGGTCGCTACGAGCCGGTATCCACTAGATGGCAACGAGTTTTTTGGTAGGTGGTGCAAACGGTTAAGTGCTCGACTACTAGCCAAAGGTTTGGTGGTTTGAACCCACCCAGAGGTGTCTTGGAAGACAGGCCTGTCAGTCTGCTTCTGGAAGATCATGGCCTTGAAAACCAGATGGAGCACAGTTCTACTCCGCACACATGGGGTCGCCATGAGTCAGAATTGACTCAACAACAGCAGCAACCATCTCCAAATTATTTCTTTCTTTAGTAAAATGACAATATAAAGAGACTTAAGGTATTTCTTCCCTTTACTAAATTAACAGTAAAATTAATTATAGGCTGTGCATGTAGAAATTTTTGAATGGTGTATCTTTGGCTATGTGTATTTTCACCAAAAAAAAAAGGTTGAGAAGTTAGAAGGTTGACATGTTGTGGGGTTGTTAACCAATGTCATAAAATAACGTGTACTACTGTTTCATGAGAAACTATTTGTTCTGTAAGCCTCCACCTGAAGTACAATAAAAAACAAAAATAAAAATAAAAACTCTGCAGATGCTGCAAAAAAAAAAATTAATTATAGATTATGAAAGTTAGTACATATTATAAGTACTTTTTAAACTAAAAATAACTTATTGTTTTTTCATATTTCAAAATACGTATATTTGTAGTAAAAAAAAAGTTAGAAAATACCTAGTAATGAGAAAAAGGTGAGCATTATCCACAGTCTCATTACCTGAAGATAAATTCTGTTAAGTCTTTCAGATGTGTTTATACAGACTTATGAATATGCATATTTATATATGCCAGTACACACATACACTCCACATACATCACACACACACACACACTCACTCACTCACTCACTCACTCACTCACTCACACGTACCCTTTGTTTAGTTTGCTTAGGAAGTGAGGAAGATGTCAGCCAGTCTTTTTGTGAGTTTTTCAGTCAGCAATTTTATATTTAACATGTTCAGTCAAGCTTAGGGAAACTTACTAGAGAGAATTATAACTGCACCTCAGTTTAGCTCCAGAGTACTGCATGCTTACTTCAACATGATACTTTACCTTGTTTTTCACAGTCTGAGAATGCAATTATACTGATTTAGTATAATTTAGTAGAAGGGATGAGAACCGTAAAATGTGAAAAGTATAGGACACTGGTTTAAGGAATTTTGGCTTACATCTGATTAAAGCAACTTTGTTTGCCTTATGCAAAGTTTCTCTTAAATATGGATAATAGTATATTTTAGTATTTGCTAAATTTGCTTTTGTGTTTAACAAAGGATAGGATATTTTTTGTATTTTTTTGTTTTGCAAAGCACACAAATCTGGAAAGTAAAGTGGTTTTTCCTAAACTGTCGTTAACACTCTTAAAGGTGTTTCATATTTAAGAAAGGTAGGCTGTTTTATAGAAATTCTTCTTTATAGAATAAAATATTCTTGAGTTACTTTATACAAGTCGTTTTGTCTTTCAAAGGAAAATATTACAAGATTTAACTCTAAAACTAATATATGTTTCCTAATTTTTTGTATCACTCATAATAAGAACAGACTGGCTGCCAGAATTCTTCTATAGCACATTTAAAGCTCCCTCAAGTTGGGAACTTGCTATCATTTGCCTCCTTAGTGATACCTCTTGCCTATACACTGTTTAGTTCTTTAACATTCTGGTAGATAACCTGAAACATCATCTTATCAGTAGCCTTGTGACTCATGAATCTACTGGACAGAAGGTCCAGGTGTAGGTTGTCCAGGGTAGGCGTGTGACTCATGGAGCCACTGAATAGAAGACCCAGGTGTGAGTTGTCTGCTATAGGTGTGTGACTCATAGAGCCACTGGAGAAAAGACTCAGGTGTGGCTTGTTCAGGGTAGGCACGTGACTCATGGGTCCACTGGAGAGAAGGCCCACGTAAGGCATATTTCGGCCATAGAGGGAGAATGTTGTTTAACAAACTGACAACTGTGTCCCTGAGAGAAATGTGTAAGCACCTGTGTAGATACAGCATTTTTGTCCACAGCACTAAAGGTGATGGGGCGTTTCAGTGGCTTGAGGGGCAGGACCTCCCTCTCATTTTCCCGTGAGCCAGGCAGCCACACCAGTGCGTATGGTGGAGGTGTGCAGGGAGGATGCCCGTGCTTGGGGGAATTGATGGCTGATGGTAGCACCAAGGGCCCTGCTTCACCAGCAGACACTCAGCGCACTAACCCATGGAGACTGGAAATGTAATGTGATACAGGTGTATAAATAATTGATTCTGGATTTAGAGATTAAGGTTCCTGAAATTTTACTGAAGGAAAACTTGTAGGAGATTTACTGACTTGTTGGAAACCCTGGTGGTGTAGTAGTTAAGAGCTATGGCTGCTAACGAAAAGGTCAGCAGTTCAAATCCACCAGGCACTCCTTGGAAACCATCGGGGGCAGTTCTTCTCTGCCCTGTAGGGTTGCTATGAGTTGGAATCGACTCAACAGCAATGTGTTGTTATTGTTTTTTTTTTTTTTTAACTGAGTTACTTACAGGTAAATGCACCTTTCTGTGGCATTTAAAAAGATTTTGCTAATCTTCCAGACATCTTTAGTAAGACCTAATTTTCTAGGCACAATACTTGGGGAAAAGAGTGTTTTCAACCATACTTAGACCTACAAGTGATTTCAGATGTTGATGATTTTGGACGTTGGCAGTATATCCAGATTGCAGAAGATGCTAATGCCGAGAAATCCACTGCTCCGAAAGTGTGCGCTGGACAAAAAGCCTAGGTGTGGGTTGTCCACGGTAGGTGTGTGACTCATGGGTCCATGGGACAGAAGGCCCAGGTGTGGGTTGTCCAAGGTAGGTGTGTGACTAATGGATTCACTGAACATAAGGCCCAGGGTGTGGGTTTTCCACATGGGTCCACTGGAAAGGATGCCTAGGGTATGAGTTGTTCATAGTAGGTGTGTGATTCATAGGTCCACTGGAGAGAAGGCCCAGGTATGGGTTGTTCACTGTAGGTATGTGATTCATGGATCCACTGGAGAGAATGCCCAGGTGTGGGTTGTTCACTGTAGGCGTGTAATTTATGGATTCATTGGAGAGAAGGCTCAAGTATGGGTTTTCCAGGCTAGGTGTCTGACTCCTGGATCCACTGGAGAGAACTCCCAGGTGTGGGCTGTCCACAGTAGGCATGTGACTTATGAATCTACTGGACAGAAGGATCAGATGTGGGTTGTCCAAGGTAGGCATGTGACTCATGGATCCACTGAATAAAACACCCAAGTGTGGGTTGTCCAGTATAGATGTGTGACTTATGGAGCCACTGGAGAGAAGGCCCAGGGT